ATCTCTTTCTAATTACTTTAATTTTTTCTTTAAAAAAATATTTATATAAATATTGAAATTTTATTATCATTATATTTTACTTTTTTACTTTATTTTACTTAAACGCATTTAATCTCTAATTACTTTAATGTGAATTTCTTTAAATATTTATATAAATACTCAATTATTTATATAAAATATAAATAGAGGAACTTTCAGGACATTTTATTTATTTATTTGTTTATTTACTTACTGACTGACTGACTGTGATTTTTCATTACAAATTAAGTGAGCACATTTCTCCCTCCAGGATCATTAATTTAATTAATAAATTCTAATTTTTGTAATGAAAAAAAAAAACGATTTATTTATATTAAAATAAATCTAAAACACACATACACACAAACACAATCATATTCTTTACGAATGAATACTACAGTACACTACAATACTAAATACTTCAGAAAGTCGTAGTGTTATTTCTTCACTGACGTTCTTGTTTTGCCTCTAATAATGCTTGTTTTTAGAGGAGCTGATGCTGTATTCAGTAAACTGCGCTTCATTACACATCTCCCAAAAACACACATGAACACACCACATTCCCGAATCATGAGCCGCATTTCACTCTTTCCAGCTTTCCATACCATCTTACAGCTGTGATTATGCCTGATTCCTGACCACAGTCATATTTCACTGCTGCTTCCAGACATTTACTCCCTCATATATTCACTGAAATGTGGTCTGTTTTTGAACTAGATCCTGTCTTTGAATGGCACAGGTTTTGTTCACTTTGTGTTGACGGCAGTGGAAAAACAAAGAGTGCTGATTGGGATTCAAGATCACTGCCTTTTAGCAGAAACACGGTCTCATGTCAGATAGATAAACCTCCTACAAAACCAGAGTCACACTGATCTTCAAAGCCTCCCTCACTCCACCGAATGACATTCACATGCTTTATAGGGCACTGGAGGAGATACTAAACACCTTACATTAAAGACTGAGAGAGTACAGAGGAAGAGAGAAAGGAGAACGAGGAGGAAGAGGAGGAGAAAAGGGGAAAAGATTAGGAGACGGTATACATGAAGAGAGTGGAGAGGAGGAGAAAAGGGGAAAGAAGAGGAGGACTAGAAAGAGGAGAACAAGAGGAGGAAGAGGAGGTGGTGGAGGAGAAGTAAAAGAGGAAGAGGAGGAAAAAAAGAAGAGGAGGAGAAAATGAGGAGAAAGATGAAAAGGAGGAGAAAAGGGGAAAATGAGGAGACGGTATACATGATGAGAGTGTTGAGGAGGAGAAAAGGGGGATAAAGAAGAGGGCTAGAAGGAGGAGAACAAGAGAAGAAACAGGAGGTGGTGGAGGAGAAGTAAAGGAGGAAGAGGAGAAGAAAGAAGAGGAGGAGGAAAAAGAGAAATAGGAGGAGAAAAGGAGGAAGAGGAGAAGGGAAGAGGAGGACTAGAAGGAGGAGAACAAGAGAAGGAAGACGAGGTGGTGGAGGAGAAGTAAAGGAGGAAGAGGAGAAGAAAGAAGAGGAGGAGGAAAAAGAGAAATAGGAGGAGAAAAGGAGGAAGAGGAGAAGGGAAGAGGAGGAATAAAATAAAATAAAACATAATTTTTCCTTTATTAAAATATTTATTTATTTTGGG